GCAGCTACACATAGCAGAATCTGAAAAAAACAGGGAACTACTATTGTACCTATAATTTACCCATATGTATACATTCACTATATTTGTGAAGAATTTCATGGCATATAGTCAGACAACTACTCATCTGAAACCTTAACATGAAAATGAAACTAAGATATCTGCCAGCCATTTCACTTTCAATTACTGAGTATCTTTCAAAAACATCCCAAAATAAACTTTTTTATTTGTGGTGCTGAGGATGAAACTCAGGGTCATGCATATGCTAGGCAAGCAGTGGATCAGTGAGCTACATTCCCATACTGGACATTCTTTTACTGGACAGATTCAATTTACTGGACAGATTCAATAGACAATGAATTTCTGCAATAGTATTGCTGGACACAACAGTTTTCAGACATAATATAATGCTATGAAACCATGTTTCACAAAAATAACAACCACCACCACCTTTTAAACAATAATCCTTAATCAATGAAAAGTGTTTTTAACTGAAGAAATATGGTCCTGAAATTTGTAACCATAAAATATTATGTGCAGGCCTCAGGGTGCTTACCAGAGGCTGTGTTCTTACACTGACTGTATAGAAAGAGGAGGCAGAATAAACCTACCCCATATACACCTCAGCCCAGGCCTGTGCCTAGTCTGTATTGTGAATGGGGAGACAAGGGAAAAAAAAAATATATATATATATATTATGTGCAACTTATTACTAATGAGGAAAAACTATTCATTCTTGCTCATACTAGAAAGTTTAAAAGTATTCTGAATCTGTTCTCTTCAAGAATAACTTTTGGAGCTATATTCAGTAGTAGAGTACATGCCTAACACAATAGGTTAAGTACAGATAGCAATATTGTATATTATTTGGGGGGGGTAATGTGTGTACTAGTACTGGGGCTTGAACTCAGGGCGTGGGCACTACCCCTTAGCCTTTTCCTCTCAAGGTTGAACCACACCTCCACTTCCAGCTCTTAGTTGGTTAAGAGTCTTATGGATTTGTTTGCCAGGGGCTGGCTTTGAACTGGGATTTTCAGATCTCAGCCTCCTCAGTATCCAGTAATACAGGCTTAGTCACCAGAACATGGCAGCAATACTATGTATTTTAAATAAGCTATAAGAAGGGATTTTGATGGGCTGGGAAGGTGGCTCAGTGGTAGAGTGCTTGCCTTGCATGCCTGGGGCCCTGGGTTTGATTCCTTAGCACCACATAAGCAAAAAGAAAAAAGCCGGAAGTGGCGCTGTGGCTAAAGTGGTAGAGTGTTCACCTTGAGGTGAAGAGCTGAGGGACAGCACCCAGGCCCCAGAGTTCAGGCCCCATAACCGAACCCAAAAAATAAAAAAGGATTGAGTAGGTGGCTCACGCCTGTAATCCTAGCTACTCAGGAGGCTGAGATCTGAAGATCGAGGTTCAAAGCCAGCCCGGGCAGGAGAGACCGTGAGACTCCTATCTCCAATAAACCACCATAAAACCGGAAGTGGCGCTGTAGCTCAAGTGGTAGAGCGCTTGCCTTGAGCTGAAGAGCTGAGGGACAGCGCCCAGGCCCAGAGTTGGAGCCCCACGACCAACAAAAAAAAAAGGATTGAGTATTTTAGCCACAAAAAATGATAAATGTTTTTAGGACACATGTTTCCCCTGATTTAAACATTATACAATGTATACATCTATCAAATAACCCACAAATATGTATAGTTTTCATGCTTCAATTAAAAGGTGAAAAAGTATGATATATTACATCTCCAATCTATTGTTAATTGATGTAACATAATAAAGCTTAAATTAAAATCTTATGGCAAAGGAAATATCATCCTAGGGTTCTGTAAGCCAGGGTTAAACCCATAAACAAAGATGCTTTTGTTTTCTTTTCTGCTGATACTTCAGTATTTCTACCCAGTGTTTCTTCTAAAGACCTGAAGAATTTGTTGGTTATATACAAAAATACACTAGAATTGTTTAACATCCCCACAATTTCTCTAACTCCCTAAAATAGCACTATACATTTTTCTTAGCTAACCAAAATAAATTCGGAATTAATCAGTGTATAAAATCCTTTACTAGCTGGGCACTGGTGGCTCAAACTTGTAATCCTAGCTAGTCAGGAGGCTGAGATCTGAGGATTGCAGTTCAAAGCCAGCCTGGGCAGGAAAATCCGTGAAACTCTTAATTCCAATGAACCACCAGAAAACCAGAAGTGGCGCTGTAGCTCAAGTGGTAGAGTGCTGGCCTGGAGCTGATGAGCTAAGGGACAGTGCCTAGGCCCAGAATTCAAGCCTCACGACCAACAAACAAAAAATCCTGTACTATGTAAATTTGTATCACAGCCCAAAATTACTAAAAATCTCTGATCTTCCAAACGACTGAATATCAATGAACATAAAACTAATCTCATTGGGTAGGTGTTTACTGAAAGCTACAAATCTCAACCAAATTGAACCAGGGGCTGGGAAGGTGGCTCAGTGGTAGAGCGCTTGCCTTGCATGCATGAGGCCCTGGGTTCGATTCCTCAGCACCACATAAGCAAAACAAAAAAGCCGGAAGTGGCGCTGTGGCTCAAGTGGTAGAGCACTAGCCTTGAGCTGAAGAGCTGAGGGACAGCACCCAGGCCCAGAGTTCAGGCCCATGACCTGACCCCAAAAAAAAAGAAAAAGAACTTTTTAAAGGGAGAAATATTCAAAAGTAATAAATAAAAGTAGTTAAATTATATCTTTGGTTAAGCCCAATTATTCAAACTGCAATTCAAAAGCAGATTATTTTTTACCTTTAGTAAAAATTTTCATGCTAAATGAAAGCTACTTTAATAGAAATTAAAATGATGTATTTTAGCTGACACCAATGGCTCATGCCTGTAATCCTAGCTACTCAGGAGGCTGAGTCTGAGGATCAAGGTTGGAAGCCAGGTCAGGCAGAAAAATCCCTGAGAGATTCTTATCTCCATTAACCACTCCAAACAGGAAGTGGAGCTCTGGCTCAGGGATAGAACCTTGAACAAAAAGAGCTTAGGGACAGTGCCTCAGGCCCTGAGGATAAGCCCCATGACTAACCCCCCCCCAAAAAAATATACTTTAGATGAAATGTTAGGAAATTATAATGAGTAGCATGGGAAAATAAATCTAGCTCACAATATTCTATAACAATGTAATATTGAATGTGCTTTCTCCAACTTTATCTGATAAGATCCCCACAGGAATACCAGTAAAACAAGGAAAATGGATACTCCAAAAAACAAAGTACAAATCAATTACAGTACCTTACATTCCACAATTCTGTTCAAAGACGTAACAATTAACTGAAAGAACTACTAGAAATAACGAAATACCATTGGTCTGTACAGTTATTATAAGAAAAAGGTATAATAATAATCCTTTAAACTTGTATAGTTCTGATATTCATTAAACTTTTATTTTAAACATTTTAAATTTGCGTTTTGTTGCTCTTTTTATGAAATTAGCACAGCATATCATCTGTCCACTTTGGTCCTAGAGGTTTTAATCTATCCATATCAAATTACACTTATTAGTGCACAGACAAATACAAATCTTACTATGTCATTGGGGCTTATAATGTGTTTATTCAATAGTGGTCCGTTATAGTCTTAAAACCTCTATTGCCTACTCTGACCACTCTTAGATTCTAAGAGGGAACCCTAGGGGAAGGGAATTCTGCCCAGGCTGGGACAGACATTGATTAATTAAAATCGACCCTCCGCAGGAAGGGATGTGGTTCCCACCTGTCCTGCTGTATGAACTGCAAGACCAAAAGACGTGCTCAACACCTTATCCACCTTGCATTTTACTAACACTGGTAAAGGGTTCAAGTTCACCCGCAACTCCCAGGGAAACAACGGTTCAGGACCAGCTGTTGTCATTCCATATTCACTCTTTGGTAACTCCAGGTTCTTGATAAACTCTAGCACATAGCCCCTGGATAAAGGATGAAGTGAAAGGCAGATATATAAGTACTCATTGAAAATAAAAAAGGACATCCTTGCAGGCCGCTGGTGCCCCACATTTGGAATCCTAGCTACTCAGGAAGTTGAGATTTGAAGAACGCCGTCCAAGGCCATCCTGAGCCGAAAGGTCCACGAGACTTATCTCTAAAAAATGACCAACTATGGCTCAAAGGGTAGAGAATTGGCAGCCAGGAGTTCACTCCCTAGGACTGGTTGTTTTGTTGTGGTGGTGGTTGTTGTTTTAAGATACTCAAGATACCCAGGGCGATGGCTGGAGGAGATAGGTACCAAGCGAACTCTCGAGTTAGCGCTTGCAAAATACCCTTCGTATGTCTGGAGGTTCTACTTTGGAGAAAAAAAGGTGAAGAATTATGATTGTTCAAGACCGTGAAATCTGGGGCAGAAAAGGAGGGGGCCGAGAAGTGTCCAGGTAAACCCCAGGGACGCGAGGACCTACCCAGACAGACCACGGGCTGACTGGAAAGAAGCCCGTATGTGGGCAGCGGTGCCCTAAGAGCCAGGACCCGAGCGCTCGCCCGCCCGACGGGCTCCCGGGCGAGGTTTCAAACCGCCGCCCGGGGGAGGCGCTCCGCCGATTGGAAGTTTCACAACGCCCGTCACTAGCCCAGGGCCGGAGCCGCAACTCAGCAGCGAACCCCACCCCCCCGCGCCCCCCCCCCACCAAGCCCTCATCTTCCCCAGGAAGACAAGACCCCACAAACTCCACCTCCAACCGAGGTCCCAACTGGAGTCCCGCCACCAGCCCGAGGCTCGATCAAAGCCACCCTCCCCCCCGCCCAGCGCCGCCGCCCTCCGGCGGGACCGACGCCCCCGACCGGGGAGCGCCACGGGAGTTCCAGGGGGCGCGACGGCACCGCGCGGCGGGGGCGGGGGGGGGGACGGGCAGACTCCGTCCTTCCGAGTCCGCCCCTCGACGCGGCCGCACGACCACCTCCGCCTCACCCCGCCGACACGGTCGGGCAGGGCTCCGACCCACCCATCCCGCCCCGTAGAGGAGCGGAGCGAGCCCACTGCCCCCGCCCGTGCTCTTACCCATCTTTCCGCCTCGCCTTGTAGACGTGCCCGTAGGTGCCGCGTCCCACTTTGCACCCTTCGTACTCAAACAAATCCTCCACCCGTTCCCGCTCCGCCGCCAGCTTCGCCTTGAAATCATAATCCATTGTCTGCTTCCCCCATAGAGGCACCGGGACGCGGGGGCCGCCGCCGCTCAGTCCCACCTCCTCCTCCTCCTCCTCCTACTCGGCGGCGTCGGCGACGGCGGCAGCTCCAGCAGACACCCCCAGTCCCGCCTCCCCCCTTCATTTCCTTGTTTTGGAACCTGGTGGGCCGAGCCGCGGCTTCCTCGAACTCATTAATGAACCAGCCGGTCCGGCCCCCTGTGTTACGGTGGCTTCTGGGATATGTAGTCCCGAGGTCTTCGAGAGCTACGGAAGTGTGGCTAGCACGAAATACAGTTCCCAGGCTGCTGTGGACAGCTTCAGCCCCGCTCCCTTTAGGCACGTACGCCTGCGCATTGGCGCCTCCTGGCTGCCCTCACTCACCCCTCCCAACCCAGGTAGCGTCCGACCGAGTTCCTGTGGAGGCAGAAAACGCACTTAGTGAGTTTTTTCTGAGCATGCATGAGCGAGAGGGAAGCAGGCAGTTGCTCTGCTAAGAAGGAACTATTTCTGCCCCATCAGTCACTGGGCTGGGAAGACAGAAAAAAAAAAAAGCACTTATCAAGCACCTGGCCCAGAAGCTTGCTCCTGAGGCTGGATGACAAGGGCTGGGTAGGACAGTTGTATTGCAGACTGCGGTTTGTTTTCTAGGGCTGTTGGTCCGCCTGTTGTCCCGCCCCATCCAGAAGCTCATTGGTGGAGACTGAAGAATGACGTTCTAACTAGTGTGTGGGTATCCCCAGGCTTTGGCTTCTTTCCCGCTCTTGATTAGATATGTTGGGTTCTTCCTGATAGGTTACTCTTTTTTCCTTTACGATGCAAAAACTGTATTTCAAAACCTGAACACTCAGCGGTTTCCTAGCTCTTGCTGAAGGGAACTGTAACTTCTGAGCCACGGCAGCCAATCATCTTATTCTTGGCTCTGTAGTTGGTTTTCTCCTAGCATATGTGATTGCAGTAGCCAAGCTTGAGCCATCTGTCTGAGGACAATTGAAGTGCCTGAAGATGCAGCCTTTTAAGAACAATCATATGGGTTGGACTGTAAAGAGTTTTTACAGCCTATGCATAATGGTGAAGTCCTCCCAGAATGTTTAAGCAATTCTCTTTAATCAGAATGAACATGAATTCATCATGGGTTAGGGCTCTAGATACACCATGGACAAAAACATGATTTAGGAGACTGTAATGTGCCCCTCTGGCATTTTAATAACTTTGTTCTTAAATTGGTAACCAACACGATGCACACTTTTCAGCTCCCTTCTACTGACTACAGTATTAATTTGTAAAGAGAACTTTGCATTTATTTATTTATTTAGCCAGTCTGGGGCTTGAACTGAGGACCTGAGCACTGTTGCTAAGCATCTTTTGCTCAAGGTAAGCACTCAATCACTTGAGAGCCATGGCACCACTTCCAGCCTTTTCTGTTTATATAGTACTGAGGAATCGAACTCAGGACTTCATGCATCCTAGACAAGCTCTCTACCAAGCCACATCACTATTTAAATTGTCTGTATCATCTAGTTCTAGATAATTTTTATGATCCAGGAGACTGCATATGGAGGGAGGTTTTATTTACCTTTCACTTCCTTCCCTCACCTTAATTTGTCTCCACTGCCCCCATTTGGATTCCAAGTCCAATCAAGAGACTACATAAGAAGGAGGCAAGCCGGGCGCTGGTGGCTCACGCCTGTAATCCTAGCTACTCAGGAGGCTGAGATCTGAGGATCGCGGTTCAAAGCCAGCCGGATCAGGAAAAGACAGTGAGACTCCTATCTCCAATAAACCACCATAAAACCGGAAATGGCGCTGTAGCTCAAGTGGTAGAGCACTCGCCTTGAGCTGAAGAGCTGAGGGATAGTGCCCAGGCCCAGAGTTCAAGCCCCACGACTTACAAAAAAAAAAAAAAAAAAGAGGCATCTACTCATGTTTGTAATCTTAGTTGCTCAGGATCGTGGTTTGAAGCCAGCCTGGGCAACAAAGTCTATGAGACTTTTATCTCCAATTAACTACCAAAAAGCTGAAAGCGGAGCTGTGGCTCAAGAGGTAGAGCACCAGCCTTGAGCAGGAAAAAAAAAAAAGCTGAGTGAGAGAGAAAACTGCTGTTTTTGTTAGAATAGCTCCTCGAGAAATTTGTTCAAATTTCAAAAGTGTCAGTTTTGGTCTGGGGCCTGACACAAGTAGTAGAGCACCTGCCTAACAAGCAGAGCCCTGAGTTCAAATTCAAGTATACCCTCCCAAAAAAATTAGAGTTAAGAACCTGAACTGCTCTTATTGCCAGGCTCTGTGGTAAATGTTATAGATAAAAAGTGAAAATTAGTCTTTTTATATTGGGAAACTGAATCTACCAAATAAGCACACATAGGAAATGGGATCATTACCTTGCTCATGTAACTGTAACCCCTCTGTACAGTATCTTTACAATTAAATATATATATATATATATAATAACTTTCCAATATTAAGAGAAAAGAGTTGGTGGAGGAAAAAAAGGTGAATCTTTATAGTATTGTACAGGACTAAAATATGCAACACAAAGAAGACAGGATCCAGACACATGTAGTGTCATGTAGAAGATAGAATTGGGTTCCCAGCAGCTGTGCTAGCAAGTGGGTAGGTTGCCAGGAGACTGAAGAAAGTATCCAGCCATGATGTGTGAGACATAAGGGTTATTGAAACTCGCTAACAGAGCAATTCCGATAGCAGACACTTAGCCTGTGCACAGCACTCTGCTGATAGTCCAGTGGCAGTGGGCTGGAAGAGCAGTGTCCTTTCCATGTACCAGTCATCACAAAGAGAGGGGCTTTACAGGTTAGTTTGTATAAGCACTGACATCTTTAGCTTACTTTGTTCCTTTGACCAGCATTCCAAGGAACACATCTTGTGTGTACATGCAGGAAAGCAGGTTTTCTTCTAGATAACACTAGTTTGCCCAGTTTCTAGTGTCCTTCAGATAACATTATTCCAGTCCTGGCCTTTCAGGCCTGCCACCATTGTCCCTTTGATTACCTAGTGTTTTGGGAATGGAATAGGGCATCTCAGGGGTAAGGTATCTGATGTCTTCATTTTCTCAAGGATCATACAAGAGAAAAGTTCTCTGAAAGTGGATGGATTATGTACTTATGAAAGAAGGAATTCTTAGCTGATTGCCTGTGGCTCAGGCCTATAATCTTAGCTACTCAGGAGCCTGAGATCTGAGAATTGAGATTCTAAGCCAGCTTGGGCAGGAAAGTCTCTGAAACTCTTATCTCCAATTAACTACCAAAAATGCCAGAAATGGAGTTTTTTCTTTTCTTTTTTTTTTTTGGTCCAGTCCTGGGGCCTGAACTCTGGACTTGGGCGCTGTCCCTCAGCTCTTCAGCTCAAGGCTAGCGCTCTACCACTTGAGCCACAGCGCCACTTCTCGCTTTTTTCTTTTTGCTTATGTGGTGCTGAGGAATCGAACCCAGGGCCTCATGCATGCAAGGCAAGCGCTCTACCACTGAGCCACCTTCCCAGCCCCTGGAGTTTTTTCTTAAGTGGTAGAGCACTAGTGCTGAGCAAAAGGACTCAGGAACAAAGCCAGCACTGGTGGCTCATAACTGTAATCATAGCTACTCAGGAGGCTGAGATCTAAGGATCACAGTTTGAAGCCAGTTGGAGCAGAAAAGTCTGTGAGACTCTAATTGCCAATAAAATTCTCAGAAAAAGCTGGAAGTGCACTGGGGCTCAATGGTAGAGTACTAGCCTTGAACAAAAGAAACTTAGGGATATCGCCCAGGCCCTGAGTTCAAGCCTCAACACAGGAAAAAACAAAACACTCAGGCCTTGACCTGAGAGAGACAGTGACAGACAAACAGGACGTTTATTTTGTCCTCACTCCATAATTAGTTGATCCCTTGCTTTATGTGCAAGGCAGCATATCATAACAGTAGTGTATGGTAAAGTAAAATCTAGTCATGCTTTGGCCAGGAAATTGTCTCTCACAATCTCCTTAGAGAGCTTCACCCATGGGGCTGGGAAGGGGCTCAGTGCTAGAGCGCTTGCCTTGCATCCCTGAGGCCCTGGGTTCAATTCCTCAGCACCACATAAGCAAAAAAAGCCGGAAGTGGCGCTGTGGCTCAAGTGGTAGAGCGCTAGCCTTGAGCTGAAGAGCTGAGGGACAGCTCCCAGGCCCAGAGTTCAGGCCCCACAACCGGACCCAAAAAAAAAAGAGAGCTTCACCCATTAACTTCTCTTAAGGCTTACTATCTAAAGGTTTCATTGTCTTTCAGTAGTGTCATACTAACAACCAAACACATGGCCCTTTAGGGGAGAAAAAGCTACCAAGATTCAATCATGGAAGCTCTACCTAATGACCTTAGCAAATCCTCACTGTCTCACAAAGGCCTTACCTGCAAACACCATAGATTTAGTTTCCATCCTCTTAATGCTTCAAGATAAGGATTAAAATTTCAACACCAGATGACTAACCATAGCATTGTCATAAACCCTACTTTGTATATATTAAAATTACTACCTCTAAGCTGGGTGTGGTGGTGCACACCTGTAACCTCAGCTACTCAGGAGACAGAATCAGATTGATCTCAAGTTCAAGGATGACCTTGGCACATTTTATTTCTTCTCCTTTTTATTTAGTTGCTGTCAGTTATTTTCCCCTTCTTGGTATGTGCAGGAGGCACAAGGCTTATAATATACAGAGAATGTGTAGTTGCTACTGTCACTAAGGCACTTGTTTTCTTGGTTAATATAAGAAACTGTCCTTGCCTTTGCTACCAGAAATATACTGAGTGGCAAATCAGATTTTGGAGCCACTAACTGCCATGTAAATCTTGCTACTCTTCTGAGAAAGCTATTCCTACTACATAAACATTGATTTAAAGTCTGAGAACAAAGCTGCCTTTAGTATAGATGATTTATGCTTGAAGGCTGTTAGGGAAACAGACACTAGATTTCCTGAGTACAAAGTTGTTGTCAAGGCAGCCGATGAGGAGGAATAGGAAGGAATGGAGTTAAGAATCAAATCTCAGGGCTGGGAAGATGGCTCAG